AACCCAAGAAGCAGCTCACAACCATCTCTAACTCCAGTTCCAGGAGATCTGATGCCCTCTTCTTGCCTCCATAGGCAGTGTAGACACATGGTGTACAGATAAACATGTACATAGATATACACATTCATACACATAAAATTTAAAAACTTAACAAACACACACACATGATTCTGATGTACATTTCTTTCTGTCTTTCAGTTAATTCTGGAAGCATTGGATTTTAAGAATGAGCCATCTCTGATGGCTTGGCCTTTGTTGTGTAGCTCAGGGTGACCTTGAACTTGCAGCAATCTCTGGAGAGCTGTGATTACAGGTGTGGGACAATGAACTCCGTTTGCATACATTTTGAATGCTTATTTTATGATGAAGAAGTCCTATGAACTTTTGAATGAAGGTTCAGGAGAAGTGAGGTGCTTGGAGAGAAATTACTTTAGCCTGAGTGTCTTGAGTATGTCGTTAGCGTATTAAATTGAGTTTCTCTCTTTTTTCTTTATTTTTGTCTAGCTTTTCAAATGCCCCCCACTGATCATAAATATCCCAGAATGAAATGAGAAATAAGCACTTTCAGGACAACCACAAGCAAATTGCCACGTATTGTGTGGTTACAGCTGTTTCTTTGGACCTGGGACTATGGACATTTTTCTGGGAGTCAGTTGGTCCCTCTCTGTGCTGTCACATGAACTGCTTTCCTTTTCTGTCTATAATAGGGTCGTAGCACCTTTCTTGTCTCCCTGTCTTGCTGCAGCTCCACATGGGCTTGACCCTGTCATAGTTCTGCTGACTCATCCTTAGGTTCATGCCTCTCTGTTTACAGAACGAAGTCAACATGGATTGCTTTATTCCTGTGTTCTAGTATTTATTTTGTTTCTTACTGTCACATGAATCTGGATCTTTTTTTCTTCTCAGCTAGTTGGAGATTTCTTAGCAATAAGGTCCTTCTTTGCTTATAAGACACATGCGTGTTCTCTCTCTCTCTCTCTCTCTATCACACACACACACACACACACACACACACACACACACACCACATACACACACATACACCAGACATACACACAATAGTAATTCATTTGTCTTAAGATCTTTTGGAACCTCAACGTAAAAACTGAAATGACACACGGACTTCTCAGTCCTGCGAGGCTTGTCGTCACTGCTATAAAGTAACAAGCAATTTCAATTGCAATGCCATTTTGTGGTGATTACTTTCTGATAGAAAGAAGGCTCGTGTTTGTCAAATAATTCTCTTAGCTTTTTCATGTTCCTTATGAGAACTGAGAGAGCAGCTTATTGTATAGTTGTTACCATTGAAAATGGGGCGAAGGAAGAGGCAGTAGGGGGAAGAGTCATAGAGGACATGGAGAGTAAGTTCTAATAATGAATGCGCTGTTTCCTTCTTACCCTACAAATGACTCTGTCAGTTTATTTGCAGTCAGTTGAGACCAAGATGTAGCTTATGATGGGACTTTTAAAGCCATAGGATTTCATATACTTTATCCTATTGTTTTATTTTTTAAAACTAACTCATATACTTTGTATCCTATACTGGCTAATTACTACTAGTCCAGCTTGGATGACCTATGGTTTAGAAATAAATAAACCTTAGAATTTTAAAAGATTAACAAGACATGTATTGATTTTTATTTGATGTCATAATTGGAGAATTGAATAGTTTTTTCAATGGCTCTTGATAAAGAAACCCAGGATCTTGCTGTGATGTAATAGCCGAGCAAATATACCTATCCACTTCCTATTATGGAGTGTACCCACAGCTTCAGTACTACAGTTTCCCATGAGATTAAATACTGTACCTGTTTTTGTCTGTAGGAGACCTTTTTTCCCATGCAGGGTAGCTATTTTTTGTCAAGGAGAATTGTATGAGAAGGTAAGCACTTGGGACAGTTAACAGGACTTCTAGGGCCAGGATCAGCTTGGAATCGTAAAGGGAACTTGTATTTTAAGGAGTGTTTAATGACTTAGACTCTTCAGTGATTGACACAAAGTAGTCATGTGATCTTCTTATAGAAGAGATTATATTCTTATAAATGAAATAAATTCTTATAGAAGAGATGAACTGAACTTCTGTCTTCTTACGCTCTTTGTAACATAGCTTAAGTAATGTATTTTATCTGGTTAAAATCTCTTCCCATCTGTTTACACCTGAGTCTATACATACATACATACATACATACATACATACATACATACATATGTGTGTGTTTGTGTGTATTCACGTGCACACGTGTATATGACACTTTCAATGTTGAAATCAAGATTTGAAGAAATCATGAGCTATGTTTGTTTTCTTAAAAGTAAGGAAAAGAAAGCAAGGAGTTGGATAGGTTGGGAAATATGGACTATGATCAGAATACATTGCATGAAAGAAATTATTTTCAAGCTAATTAAACAACAGAAAATGATAAATAGACTAAAGTGACTGGATATAATCGCTCGATTAAAACAAATTCCTTCCAGTACCATTTTCCAGTCTCAGTAGAATCCATCTTTACAGACTCTTCTCCAGTCTATTTTTTTGTTTTGTTTTTTTGTTTTTTGAGACAGGGTTTCTCTGTGTTACACTCTAGCTGTCCTGGAACTAGCTCTTGTAGACCAGGCTGGCCTCTAACTCACAAAGATCTGCCTGCCCCTGCCTCCCGAGTGCTGGAATTAAAGGTGTATGCTACCACTGCCCGGCTAAAGGATTTTTAAGTTCCATGACCTCAGAGATAGTGTAGTACAAGGAAAAAAATGACTGAGCTGTACATTGTGGAAATGGAGAAAATAATCTAGTTTTTATGGCTTAAGTAGAATATGACAGAGCAGTTATTAATTTTGAAGGTCCTTAGCAGGAGGCTATTTTTCTACAGGAGAAAACTGGGTTTGCAGAACTGTGTGAGTCAGGAATTCCTCTCTGCATCTTGATCTACAGAGAATTGCAGACTCCAGGTCTGTAATCTTGCCTTTACTATGCAGTGTACTCTCCTTCCTTCTCTGGAAAAGTCTGCAGAACATAGCTTTAACATTCCATTAAGCTTTGGTGAGAGCACATGTCTAGCAAGTGTCTTCAGTTTCCCCTGTTTCCACCTGTTTATATCAAAAGTGTCTTGAGGTCAGTGTGTCAATATGTTAATGATATTGAGGGTGGCTTTTCTGCAGATCTTTGTGAACATGAACTTGCCATGTTCCAATGAGGTGAGCTTGTTTTATTTATGAATTAAAAACTGATACTTCTCATATAAAATGCCAGATTCTTTCTCTTGAAGCCTCCCAAAAGAAAATGAGTTTATTTAAGCAATTTCCAGGTAAAACTGAAAGACTCCCATGGGCATCTTCCCTCGGGAGAGACCCCGTGCCCAAAGATCAGTCGAAAACAGGCAGCCGGATGCAAACAGCAGGAGGTTTATTGGACACACAGGTACCTGGGGGCGACAAGTCTCTCGGAGGACTTGCGCGCCACAGGTTGGGGGTGAGGGGTTTTTATAGGGGAGCAAAAAGCAAGGTTTACAGAAGCGAGATGCAGGGTGGTAAATTCTTAACCTAAATAACAATGAGGGGACTATTCAGCGGTTTATTGTTTCTCTTATCCTGCCCCCCTTCCTTGGCTGGCGACTAGATGTCTGATTGCACAGCCCCTGACTCGTGAGAGCCCCGCTTTATATGTGACTCAGGCCTCACCTCGCAATCCTCTCTTTCTTTGTTTCTATGGCTAGTCCATAAATCCCTGTCTTGCAGCCAGATAAGGCTGTCCTTGCCCTAACTTTAAGTATCTTTGCTTAGCATTTCTGAGGTCCTGAATTAAGCCTGTTATTTGTTCAGCACTCCGGAGGCCCTGACTAGGCTTGTTATCTGTTCATCCTTTGCAAAACGTTATAACTGTGGTTAAAGTTAAAACGAGTTGGGGTCCTTCAAAACGACTAATAATTTCTCATGCTGAATTTCAGATCACAGTGTTAATGCATAGTAGCTAAAGCTCCAATGACCAACACTTTTAGCGTGTACCATTAATGTGATTCAGTTCCATCATTTGCTTTACTTGTGTGTTTCTGAGACCCCAGATCATGCAGACCCGAGGGCAATCTGCTGCTTCATTGTTAACTACATATGGGGATATGAATTGGATGGATTGTTCTGCCTTGTGCTTTTTACTACACCTGAAATGGGTCTGTCCTTGAATAATGTCCCACATGCATTGCTAAATGAGACATATGAATACTGTCATTTTAGTGAAGAATTCTCACCATTCACACTCCTCCCAGCGCAAAACTCTACTCTCTTTCTTCTGTGACCCCTCTCATGTCAAGAAGCTCTAAAATGCAGACTTTGTGTGCGAACAGAAATGGAACATAACATTTGAAGTGTCTAGCATTTGAACTTTGAAAATTTTAAAACAATTATCAATTGCAATTCTGTTGCCTTTAGTTTGCTTAAAGATTGAAGAAAGACATAAAACAAAGAAAGAAGCAAACAACAAATAAACATATCATGGTCCTTGGACCCAGCTAAAATGCTGGTGTAAATATTTAGCGCTTATATGGATATCTTCTAAATCACAGCTAATAATTTAACAAGAAGAATAAATGTTTCTCCTAAAACTTCTAATGTTTTTTGAGAAATTGCAAGGATCTTTGTTTTTGATACTCACTCTAGTTAAAAAAAAAGTTAATAAAATCTGGTAGTTGATTTTGGTTACAGATCATATCACAGAAATGTCTGGTGTATGGGAAAAGTAAAAATATGTGAAGAGAGGCCCCAGAAGTTCTGAGGTTCAACTGGTGCGAAAAAGAGCAGCCTCCTCGTTTACGATTTTCTTGAATACTGATTGACATTGTACAATCCTCAAAACTGTATAGTGTGTATGTTTCTTCTGGAAAGAATTTTCTTTCTTTTCTAAAGAACAGATGAAGTAGTCTATTGATCCAATTTAATAATCGACCAAAGATATCCTTAAAAGTACAGCAAACAAGACCTTGTGTATAATGTGAGTTCTTTCTTTTTAATTTTAGAATCCACCTTGTCCTATGTTAGGCAGCTGGAGGCCAGAGTCAGACAGCTGGAAGAAGAGAATCGCATGCTGCCCCAGGTGGGTGACTTCCAGAAGTGCATAGCTAGCCAGTGCCATTTGAGTTGTAGCCTTTTATTTGAAATTTAAAGTTGCAGTTACATGTTCTCTTTTAAATGATAGAAATCATGTTGTAAAAAGCCATTCTTCATGTAGACTGTGGTGACGTTCCATGACGGCCATCATTCGCCCCAGACTTCTGAGAGGTGCACTAAAGGATGCGAATGTCAGTAAGGCTGCGAAATAATTTAACGTGAGGGAGGGACCAACACTCACACTGCCCTTGTGAGCCAGTGGGTAAAAGGAAGGGACTCATTTACATTGAAATTTTGGTCATTTATGAGCTAAGTAAAGTTATTGGTTAGAAGTTCATACTTTAATTAAATTAGTGCTTTCTAGAATTTTTTGATTAAATTGAACTCATTTAGTGCAACAAAGTGTAATGACAGTAATCGGCAATGTTTACTTTGGGACCTCATTATCTGTCGCTGGTGAGTGGAAAGTTGCGGATTTTTTTTTTCTGGGGTATTAAATGGCTTGTCACATATTTCACTCACAAAGTTGTTTCTGTAGCTGTTAAATTGGTAAGGACGAGGCTGGTTTTGTGAGGTGGTGGTTATCAGAAAAGATTTTCTTGAGAAACTCAGCAAAGCCACAGGTTGTAGGGTATCTTCCTGTCTGACAAGAAGGCAGTGATGCTTTTAAACATCTTATATGAGGTTTCCAAGAAACAGATCCCCTGAATTCCTTCTACCTTTATGACCATTTTCATTTTGTATGTGACTAAGGGATAATTGCCCCTCAGCTAATGAGTAAGTGATAATTTAAATAAGACAGATAAACACATTCCATTCAAAGACAAGATATTTAAACTTGAAGGCAGAGATGATTGGGAGAAACATTTGGGGTCTAATAATTTAGAGTTGCTTTAAAAACATTTTTGTTCAGTTGTGATGATTTGGGCTATTGTGTCCTGCACATGAGAATGCTTTTCTGTCTCGTTCATTGGCCTACTTATTTCTAGAAATCATGGCTAACTTATTTCTAGAAATCATGGAATTAATGAAGTGAATCTTCTCTTTATTCTCAAACTTCTCCTGTGCTCAAATTCATCAACCTGAAAGGACAGGTTTGTCCTTTCATCAAAATTCATCAACCTGAAAGGACAAAGTTTGTGTTGCAAAATAAGATACTGATACATTTTTCTATTATGTTCTTCCTACTGTTCTGTTTTTTCCACAAATATTTCCTTTTATGTTGAATTTATAGTATGACTGCACTAGAATCCTTGACTGAAAACATTGAACTTCTCCCCTGTTATAAAGAAAATTTTTAAAAAATCCACAACGTATGCTTGTTATATCTCAGGCAACTATAAATTTGAAAGAAAATAGGAAAAAGGAATGTAAAACAAAATACTTGTGTTTCCCTTTTATTAGGGATTGGGTCTCACCTCAAACATTAAAATATCAGTCATGTGCCTTCTTGTTTGAGAAGTCCAACTGATGAGAAAGCGATTTTTTAAAATGTGAGACTGCTGGGGTGATATTATAGGTAAAGTTACATGCTGCTATGCCCCAGGGCCTGCATTTCATCCCTAGGTTCTCACAGGTGGAAGCAGAGAACCAACTTCTGCTGATTGTCCTGTGAACTCCACACATAGTGTGGCATGTGTGCACATACATGTGCAATAAACAGTAAATGTAATAAAATGTTTTCACATCTGTAAAAATAAATATAAAACTCCTGAAGGAAAACAAAAACTTCATTGGATATTTCTGGAGGATATGAATATTTAAATGCATAGGGCTGCATACTAAACTGAGAAACTAGTACATCATTCCTCATATTAAAGTATTGGACAAAGTGTCTAATTATATGCTTTTAAACACATAGAGATTTTACTCTAAAAAAAAGCCTTTGTCTTGTTTTTCCTCTAAAAAATGAGCAGGGAAGACCATGTTTCATTGATCCTATGATATTGATATAAGCAAAGTACTTATTATATATAATATAAAAGAAAAAACCATACCACATCTAATTCTAGATATTCAATATGGCAAACAGCTTTGCATATTTAACTAAGCATATTTACATATCAGCTTAAAAAAATACATTATTTGAAATGTATGCCAAGAATACGGGTCTCAGTTTACAAACAATACTTTAAGTTTTTAACTTTTGAGTATCTCTTTCACTTATAGCTAAGGCGTTTACATGATGCAACTGCTGGTTTAACTGACCCTGTAAGTACAAGTTCACGCACACACATACACACGTGTGTGCATGCACACACACACATGAGAGCCTAATTTGGAACACTGTAAGTTGATCCTAGAGAACTGAAATTCTGTAAAGGTGTTTACTGAGAAGATTGATACTTAGGTTGGATGGCACAAAGGCTTGTGGAGCTTGTTTTTAGATATTTTATGTCCGGTTGCAAATAATGTCTGGAGACCCTTTCCCGCAGAGCCTCTCTGTACTTTCCTGATGTTAGCTGATGTGCAAGGCCAACCCAGTGCTACACACTGATGTTCCTGCATAAATTAGTTTCACTATTCAAACACTTGATTTTCAATTATAAGAGCTTTCTCACTGTGCCTTGATTAGAAGGTATCTTTTATTCCTAAATTTATTAAAGAGTGCCCATTTGTCTTTGGATTAATGGAAATAAGAATGTAGTGGCTAATTGGATTCTTAAGTACGTCAGGTTCCTTTGAGGCTATAGCCAGGTTCATTTCTGATTGTTCAGAGTTCAGCCTAATTATGTTCGGCAATTAGAGAAGAAGAAATCTCCTCTTAAAACACGTACACTTCTCTATATACAGCAGTTTGTAACTAACAAAATCACAACTGTAAAAGGTTGATAGCAACAAGGCTCTGTCTGTTACAGTTTGGGGGGGTAAAGTATAAATAAAGACTGGAGTCCAAATCCTTTAGCTTTGCAAAGTTAATCAGGTCCCACAATGAAGGACTGACTGTATAGAACAATTGCAAGATGCTGGACATAATGGAGTTGGTTCTGACTGGTGGTGGAGAGTTTCCCACAGGAAGAGGGGTGGGAGCCTGACAGCTGCTCTGCAACAAGGTGTCCAGGGAAGGCAGAGTTTCTTGCAACTCAATGGTCATAAGAGTACCCAGCCAGGATTATGGAACTGTACTTTAAATATGTTTATGGGCAATTTTCAATGACATCTAAAGGAGCAATCATTTTACTAAACTTAGAAAATGTAATATTGTTGCTAGATACTTTATTTTTTTAAAAATGCCTTTTTAAAAGGCCAGTATCCCAACAGCAAAGACTACCCAGACTGTTCTTGAGCACTAATGTGAACAGTTTATTAAGAACACATTAAAAATATCTCAAAGGATTGTGTATCACTCTAGCAATTCATTTAATGCTAAAGCTGTTCAAACTAAGTTCTCAATTCCCTACATGCGTATTGGATATGATATGAACCATCAGTGAAAATTGCATGATATTTAAATAAATGTAGATGATATCTATCCAATTTTATTGACCTAATCAAAAAAGGTAGACTCATCCACATAGCATAAATGGCATTTATAAATAACAGACATGGTGTGGTATGAAGTTACAGTTGTTTAAGGAATTTTATGTCAAAATGAAAAGTATCACATCTGTTATTTTATATAAACTCATATATAAATGCAAGAATTTTTTTCTGGATATAGGGCCATAGATTCTCAGAATTGGACAGAAACTTACATATCCTTTACTATAACTCACATTTTAAAAATAGAATATCAAGTTCATAGAGATTAGGAGTATTTCCATGGACAGACAGCTAGTTAAGAAGGGACTCAGGCCAAGGTAGATGTAGGTTGACCTGATAATCAGTTTATACGATTAATACAAGGCCATATAGTAAAGCTACTAAATCCATCGTTTTTGTTTATCTACTCTTATTGTCTCATTTGTTCTTGTTGTTGTTTTTGAGAAAGCAACGGCACCCATCACAAATATGAGAAATCCTGTGTTTCACAGTAGTGTTTCTTCTTGGAGCATGTCCAAGACAGTTTAGAATCCTAAAGTTAAATTATGCAATCACAAGTCTACATAGAAAATTCACTCATAACAGTGTGACCAGAGAGACCTTCTGTTCACGGGGCTGAAGTGGCTCAGTGAGCAGAGACTCACAGTGGTGATGTTCAACTTGTAATTAATTGGCTAGCCCCAAATCCCAGCTTCGTTTCAATCTGCTCATCCCATCATGGCTGCCTTGATGGTCATGGGAATTTATTAATTTATTAATGCCACTGTTTCTGTCTGCAGTGAAGAATTTTCTTCAACTTGGTATCTTTAATTGGCTGATGCACTTAGTTGATACTTTGAGGGCTTCCATTGCTATTCATATATACCCCTGAGGTAAACTCTCAGTTTTTGGAAGAATTATCCTCCCCTATTCTATATTGACTAAATTTCACATCACAGTGAGTGGTAAAACTGAAACAAACAGTTTGTGGTAGGTTCAAAGCCAACAAAGTGCATTTGTTCCAAGCCCTATTGGGAAATCTGTTCCCTTTGATCAAATGCTCTGGCAGCAGCATCTGCTTGGCAGGCACTCTGTGTGCTCTGTGCCACCCAGGCCCTTCCCACCTTTTGAGAGCTGGGTCCAATACAAGCACCCAGTACTGCCTGGTGTCCTTTCCCACTTCTGGGCTGTGCTGCAGCAGACCTGCCTGGCAGACAAAGCTCTGGGATTTCCACCAAGAAGTGCCCTTTCAGCAAACATGGCTATTTCTGTTGTGCTGAAGTATCTAATTTTAGGACTGGGAATGAAAACTTGCCCTCTCATGTAATTTAGTCACAATGTGGTCTCACAATGCCATCTTTCAGAGCCCTGAGAATGAATCAGGGCTGTTTCGGAACAAAAGGAAAGAACTGTGACTATTGCCAGAAGCGCTGGGACGGTTACACAGGAGCGAAGGCAATTGTGCCTATTACTTCCATGGCAACACAGTCCAACTGTGGATCTCAGAACGGCTCCTTCATCTCT